ATGTCGCGGGGAGGACTGCAATGTGTAGAGTAAGTAGCCTGTGTGTCCGGGTGCATGGAGCGACGCACAAGATACGATACTCCACGAGGACTACCCCTTTGGGAACTGGTGGGTGCTTTCCCCGGGGGACAAACACGGAAGGCACGTCCGGCGACGCAGAATCTGCACGGTAGAACAGCCACGTTGAGCGGTGCTCCTCCTTACTTACCCTTGATGCTTTGCTGTTGCTGTTGCTGTCGCCCTTCACGGCTGCACAGGTCCAAATACACCGAACCATCGGCCACGTTTTTCTGATGCCATTGCCACATTTTTTGTCTGTTGATGATACGATAGCAGAACAGAAAGCCCGCACCGTCACGCGCACCGACTGATGTTGCTGTTGACCTCTCGCTGTGGTTCTCTGAATGTTTGTGGTGATGATGTTAACGTGTGACGATACAGCTCCTACAAGACAGCTCCCGGAGAGACTTCGTAGCTGCAGCCCAATCTACTGCATGTATGCATAGCACCCTGCACACCTCTTCCTCATACAAAATACATCCCTTCTCGACGACCCCAGGTCTTTTTTCCTGGTCCGAGTCTCCTATCAGGAGAGAAATGTGCGAACCACAGCTGCAGTAGCTGCTTTTGTCCTGTCTAGGGTTAGTCTAGGGTTGTTGCTCTTCTCGGCAATGTGTGGCGGTTCGGCCCTGGCAAATGGAATAAACCCAAACGGCCGCGAGTTTTCCCCGGCGCAAGCAAGTAGAGGTGACCTTGATTAGGATCTCACTTCCCCTGCGTCGTCTGTCGATGACGATCCCCTCTTTTCATGACAATTTGTTTTACGTTGTAGGCGGAATGCATTGTAAATCGGTAGCACTAGGCTACACGTAGACTTTGGCGCAAATATGCCATCGAGGCCAGGCACAATCTGGAGTGGCATGGACAAATTTTGGGCTGCGAGACAAACACATCGTTCACCTCTGTTTCGATGGCAACTAGTCTAAGTTTAGGTGTTCTCGCGCAATGAGGCTCTTCCTTCCGGTGCTTTGCCTGGTTTTTCAGCACCGAACGCGAGGTAAAGCAAAGCAATAGCCACCATTCAACTGGAGAGAACTTTGGACCAACCCTTGAATAACCAAAAAATAGGAATAGAAAAGTTCCACTCTTTGCAGGGATATACACGTGCGCAAACGGAGACTGTTTCGCGGGCTTTGTTATGCGCATGGAGGACAACCGCCTGCCCAAGCGCATGCTGCTAGGAGCGATGGCGGGGGGCGTGGGATACCGGGGCGGGCAGGAGAGCAAATGGGTGTCTCGTCTAGGAGAGGACCTCGTGGCCTTCAACATGGGAGACGAAAAGGAAGGGGGAAATTGAAAGAGAGCGCCAAGGACCCGGAGGTGTGGTACAACAAGGTCGAGGGCGGGGCGGCATGGCTCATGAGGAAACGGCACAGGCAGGAGGCGGAAGCGTCCGCGAAGCGCCAGCGCCCGAGGGAAACAGAAGCAGAAAGTACGGCCATCTCAGGACCGAAAAGAATGAGAGTCAGGGAAGCGGCGGTCGGGGGGAAGAAACGGCGACCGGGCACTGCTGTAGAAGCGAGTAGGGCGGCCGAGGCAGCACTTGTGGCGAACTATGTACCCGGCTGATGTTGTTGCGCCCTGTTTCCCTCCCTGCTGTATGCTATACTCCTTTATGTATGTCCTTTGTATTGCCTTCGGCCTCTGTGCTGTGTTTCTTTTTTTCATGTCCTCCCTGCCTACTCTGCGGTGTTGGGTACCTTGATCTCGCTTTTGCTGTTGCTTTTGTTTTTCGTACATCTGGCTGTCTGCCCATCTGCCGCCTCTTTGTTCGGTTTGCTCCGTTACACCTGCCCTGGTGCGTAGTGCCTGGTGCTCGTACGTTACACTTAGATTTTTTCTTTACGCGGGTGTGGGAAGCGTCCTCCTTTATTTTTGTTTTTGTTTTTTTTTTATCGGTCGGTGCGGTACCTTTTATTTTCTGTTTTATCACCTTGTTCTCTTGTCCTGCGAGTGTTTTGTACCCTTTTTTGTTTTGTTTCCCCGCGGCGTTGTATGTGTTATTTATTTATTTATTTTTCCCGCAGAAACACATCAAAACAACAACACTGGTCGCCCCCAGTGGTTCGGTTGGTATCCTCGCAAGCCTCTGGACGTTTGAGACCTAGTATCAAACCTCGGCGTAATCGCACGAGGTGGACTGGAGTTTTTTCTCACAATGCATGCTGTGGAATACAGTAGGGCACATAATAACTAAGTAAGGCAGTTAGTCTATGCCCTCAAACATTTTGTGTACAATCTTTTGAAGGGGGTTGGGTCACTTCTTGTGTTCACACTGCAGATTTTGGTTTAACTTGGCTTTGCGGTGGACGCGATAAGTACTTTGCAGGTGATAAGCTGGCCAGCTAACGAGCCTTCGCTTGATACAGTCAATTTCATGGGATGCACACTTTGCGCAAGCAATGTCTCGCTATTCTGCATGTTGAACACCTGACGCACTTTTTTTTCGACATCCCCTGTTGCGCTTTTTCAACGAGCTTGAAGTTTTCGCAGCAAGAAATAGTGAACCACCTCGCAGTCTCTTCGGTTTTCGTTATTACACGTCCGCTCTGCGTGCGTGTTCCCCCCCATCTGCTGGCTCTTTCCTCGCCTCCCTAGGTCTTTGTCAACAGGGAACGGTTTCACCAAAAGCAGCGGCAGCGGCAGCGGCAACAAGGACCCGTACATCAACAGTCTACGCTATATTCTGGAGAGAAAAATACATATTCTCGACAGCGTGAGTGGCAAGCCTCGAATGTCGTGCTACCACTGTGGTGAAAAGAAGGCAAGAAGACGCATCTAAATATGCATGGAGTTGATCCTGATAAATATGAGACCCAGAAGGACACTTAGGCGAGGTTTAAGCTGCACCTAGCTTGGGTGAAATATGTGTTCTTTTCCACCATGACCCGCCCGGTCTTTTCGTTAGGCAACCTTTCACCACAAGGTTAACAATATGCCTCAAGTGTGTTATTGCGGCCACGAAAATATCCGGCACGTTTCATTTTCATCGACGATGCTCAACGAACACTTCCGCCAATCACAACGCCTTCCACCCACCTCACCATCCCACCTGTCACCTCCGAACCCTCGCCGCCGATCGTCCGGAACCCTGATCCTGCCCCAAGTACAGATTGAGTGTAGTGGGCCGCCCATCGGCGCAGGTTCTTGCACGCGCTGCACACGGAAAGGCCGAATGTGTGTCTTCGGTGCCAAGAAGAAGCCGGGGCCAAAGGTTCCACCGCCGAATTCTTCAGCCCTTACGCTGCCATCGGCGGCGGCATCTCGGTCGGCAGCATCTCCGGCCGCCAGTAAAAAGAAGGCGACGGTGCCATCCAACCCATCGCCTCCCGGCAAGGTTGGTGCCAGCAAAAGCGTAGGTACCCTACTGTTGTCCTCTCTGGTGTGTACATTGTACAGAACTTGGTCAGGAGGGCATGCTCGTATTGCTCGTGGGAATATCGCCATACCCAAGGATAAATAGCATGAACGTGTGACGGGGGAGAGTGTGTGGTGAGTGTGGTGATGAAGTAGCGCGGCAAGAACAGCAATAATAGAGACAGGATCTAGAGAGCACGAGGAGAAGGGTCACTCCGCCCTTCCACTTGCGTTCCACTCTTCTCCGCCCCCTTTGACTTCTTGCCTCTTTTCCCTGTATTTTCTTCTTTGGGCTTGCTCTTAGCCCGCCTTGTGCACATCCCCCCAATCTCCGCACATCCAAAGCGTGGTCCTCAGCGTACTTTTTGGCCCCCTTCCCCTCGCGACCATTTTCATGTCTCGCCGGAACGCTGACAAAAGTCTATCCCCTCCCTCGTCAACCCTCTCCTGCAGCTCCCCTCCAAGACGATGCTCGAGGAATTCGATGAACTCTACCCCCAGGCGGTCTTCGACGATCCCCTCCCTTTTCTGGAGGGGAGTGTGAGTGGTGGGCCCAAGGTCTCGACGGGGGCACCGGGCGGCAGCGGCTACGGCGGGGGGGGAGGAGGGGGACACGGCGGCGGCAAGCTCGTACCGTTCCGGCAGTGCTCTCTACGGTGGGGAGAAGCTTAATTCATTTGCATGTCTCCAGGAGAGTGGCATCGGTGCCAAGGCCGAAGGTCTAGGGACAATGTTCGGCGGCGGCGGCGGCGGCAGTGGTGGTTTGGATAGTCGTGAAATCAGGTCGGGTGGCAGCGGCATCTGCAGGGGAGTGCATGCACCCTTTCACCGTGGTGCCGGTCGAGATTCGACGACCTCCATGACGACCCTCGGTGTCGGACGGGCGAGAGGTGGCGAGATCGGCGGGGTGGGTACACCGGCGGCACCGGCCGTACACGGCGGTAGAGTGGCGGTCGGCGTTGGTACGGGCAAGGCGGGCTGCTGGCCGTCGCCAGGTGGAGGAAGCGGTGCAGTGGCGGGGACTGTTCGGGGCACGTCCCTGAAGAGGAAGTATATGGCGGCCGACGATCGACGTGGGGAGGTGCTCGAGGTGAGGCTGTCCCTAACCTTGACCGGGGTGAAATGTTCACCGAACCGCGTTGCAAGCATCCCTTCTTGTGTCGCTCTAGAGGGCCACGCGTGTTATCGTCGGGGAAACAAACTCAAAGTTGACAGGGTGTATTGAAAGGTTACCACGACTGAATCTGCTCCACCCGCCGTTCGATCGCTCCCGCCCTGAAGAGCACCAGACAGCCGCATGCCCCCCCGACAAACGCTCTCATTTCCCAGGTAGAATTTGTGCGTGTGTGTTTTTCTTTGAGACCTTGGTTGTCTCCTTGGCTGTGCATGGCGGTGCCGGGCAGGGTACATCGAAGTCTTTCAGCCACTCTAGCCCCACTTCTCATCGTCTGAGCCCCCCCCTCTCCCTCCCTCGCTTCCCAGGGGCACCGCATGAAGGTTCCATCCGCGGACCCCCTTCTCCGGCTCCCGCGGCGTTCTCCTTCACAAAGAGACACGCACTCATCTCGAAATAGAGCTCCAAGATGAACGACCACTTGTCCTTGCACTTTGAAGAGATAAACTCGGTGGCAGGATCCCCGCCTCCTGTTGGTACCGGTAATAGCGCCACCAAGGTTATCTCTCCAAAGTGCGAGGACAAGTGGTCGTTCATCTTGGAGCTCTATAACGAGGTGAGTGAGTGTCTCTTTGTTGACGTGATAATGCCTGAAGTCCCGTGTGATTGGCGGGTGGTTGATTTGATCCTATCGTGTGGTGTGGTGGTCTGTGTTGTTCTACGGGGGGCGGTGTCGAAGTTGCGCCGCATGAGTCGCTTGTTTCCTTTTTGTCCTCGTGTTTGCTGCGTTTGCTGTTGGGAACCAACGAAGATGTGGGGGATTCACGCATTTTCTCGCCGGCAGGTCTTGGTGGTGAAGTTGGGCTCTGTGCATACTCCCCTCGTGTAACAATCGATTCTGACGTCCTATTTTCTCGTGATACCGACAGCCATGCCTGGACGCCGCGACGCCGCTGCACCCGGTCAAGAAGCGAAAGGTGGGGCATGGCAAAGGGCCTCAGCACCGGCAGTCCTTGCCCCCCCCCCCCCCCCCCCCCCCCCCCCCCCCCCCCCCCCCCCCCCCCCCCCCCCCCCCCCNGTTGGCGTGGTCGTCCACGATTGCGGCCCTTGACAACGGCGGCGTTGGGCGTGGCGTGGGTGTCAGCGGCGGCGGTAGCGGGGGTCTCGGCACCTTGCATGCTGCCGGCAGCCACCAGCAGCAACAGCAGCAGCAGCAGCAGCAGCCGTCTGGACCTTCACCGGCGCCGGCGCCTCCGGCAGCGGCATCGGCAGCACCAGCACCAGCACCAGCACCAGCAGCGGCGGCAGCGGCTACGACAGCGTCGACAGCGGCATTGGCAGCAGTGGCAGTGATAATGTAGACAGTCTTACTATGGACTTGGGGCTGGGGTTCAGCGCGCAGAGCAGCATCCACACGCCGCCGACAAAAGACTGGCTGGCGACAGACGCTTTGTTCGGAATGGACTTTTGGGGGACTTCGGAAGGATTGAATTAATTTACCTTACCTTACCTTACCCTACCGTCGGGTGTGTTGATGATTTCTCTCTACCGCCGTCGTTCCTCAAGATGTGCGGCATTATTTACTTCGGCATGTTTGATTTTGGGGCGTTTTACTTTCATGGCGCGTGTTTGTCTACCGGAACTTCGCATCAGATGAAGTATTTCCTACCGTCATATCATCGGGATTTTGGTTTTTCTTGTTTGGTGAGGAGGAAGAGGGAGCAAGGCAAGGGGCCTGCATTTTGACTGTAACAATGTTGTAAGATGTGATGTGTTTACTTGTGCGTGCCTTTTTAAGGCGCACATATGAGCCTAACTCAACGTGTGTCAAACCATCCGACATGGTGCGGAGTTGGGGGGGCGATATGTCGTGTCATCACGTGGAGGGCACTCAGCAACGGCGGGCATGGTTCAATTTTTGTAGGTCAGGTGCCAGCGGTGTGTGTGTAAGAGAGGTGTGTGCTTGAGAGAGATGTGCAGAGGTGAAACGTACCGGTATCCTATCACTTAGTGTAATTCAACGTGTGTTTGTGAAACCATCCAACATGGGCCACGGGGTGTGGGAAGGGGTATGGAGTGTGGACACGAGGTGATTAGTCTTGCAGATCATTGTGAGTGCATTCAGCACAAGAGAGGATTGAGAACATTTGTGGTTGCGCGATGTGTGAGTTAGGCTAGGGTGGCAAGTAAAGACTAGAACCAATCGTGCAGTTCAACCTGCGATATAACCGCAAAATAGGTTGGGGAAGAAGGGTGGATACTTGACGTTTTAGTGCACGATGCTGCTGTCGGGTCAAACCGAGAGTGCCTTCAGTACTGTGAGGGGGGGGTTGGGTCGAGAATCTATGTGGTTGGAAAATATGCGGTTTAGTGCCTATGGCCAAAAGAGGCTTCAGCCTAGAAAATATTCCAGCATGTGATGTCATCCAAAACGTTTGGAGGAGGGCGGGGAGGAGAGGTCGTGAGTTGAACAATTGTTCGGACCACATGGAGTGCAATCGGCAGCACGGACATGCAACACGAATGTACAAGTGGGTTCGGAACGTATGTCACGTATGTGTGGTTGCGAGAGACGTTTGCTTGTTTTCTCCATCGACCTTGCTAGTGACCGGACCATTGCAAATAGGTCCTTTCTATGGGGGGACACCGAACACACACCACACGCTTTGCATGTTGTTAGTGCGAGAATGTAGAGGGTTGATCCTAGTGTAGAGTGCAACGTTTGGAACCATCCGACATGGGGGGGGGGCAGGGTATGCGTGCGGAATCGAGCTGTATCATGTTTATTCGGAGTAATTTCAAGGAGTGATGCCGTGAGCGGTGGCTTGCTCCTAGGGATAGATGAAGGTTCTGTCGTTAACACGCTTGTCCACGACCACGTTGAGAATGGAAAGTTGCTTTTTATTGCTGAGAGACGATCAGCAAAGGTCTGGGATGAAGTGGGGCCAACTTCATCTCAGGGGGTGCACAGAGTAGACAATTTTAAGGGGGTAGGGGTCAGAAGGGTATACCTCCTGACCGACCCGCATCCTATCAAGAACAAGATGTACCCTATTCATGCGAGCAGCCACACTCCTTAACACTAGCTCACCCTGAATATCGTATATGCAGATTCTATACTCAAAACAATGCTCAAATCCTAGTCTAAAGCATTATTAAGATTATAGCTGATGATTTATGATCATGAATCGAAGATATGACTCTTCACAAAACATCCAATAGGTAGGGTTGGGTACTGGCGCTGCGCGCCAGTAAAAAGTATACTGGCTGCTGACGCAGCCAGTAAACTGGATCCGATCAGTACACTGGTGGCGCGGCGAAGCCGCGCGGTCGCGGCTGCGCCGCGACCATCGGCCCCCCCCGGCTGGTGAGGGGGGCCCGCCGGAGGCGCCCCCGGAGGGCCCCGCTGGAGGCGCCCCGCCGGAGGCGCTTTTGTACGCGATTTGGCTTCACTAGAGCAAAAAAAATGAGTGATTTTGGCCCATCTGACAGAGGCACTATCGCGGGGAAAACGATAGAAAGTTCGAGTTCAACGACTGAATTTGTTGGTTTTGGACATGAGGAAATATTGAAACATTATAATATTACTCCCAAGCAACCAAGTGGCATCCATCCATCAGTTGAGTTGATGAGCGACGCTATCGTATACTGGACTCTACGAAGGACACAACGACACGGCAGCCCTGAACGTATACCAAGAAACCAGCTAAGAGCTAAAAAGTAAAAAGCTAACCAGGAAACGGGAAACGACAGGAGGTTCGCAACAAAAGAAGCACCAGCTTGCTAGAATGCAGAATGCTACAGATACGAACAGCACCAAAGCTACCCAACCGAAACCTACACTGCGCACAAATTACTGCCGCTAGCACACAAAATCCTCCCCATCAAAGACAGTCACTACCCTAGCCCCTCTTCGCNACATCGACATCTCAATGACAACGCTTGAAGGGATAAAGCTTCGAACAATATATATTGCGGCAGAGCACGCTATCATCCTGAACAGACGACGATAGGGAAAAAAAATCAATATCTCGACGCCACACACCACTCTTTTCTGCGCACCCGCGCGTATCACCGCTGGAGGAATGAGGGTGAATACCCGAGCGAGTCCAAAATATGGTGACGAAAGTCAAAACCCAAACAATTTCCAAACGAATACGGCCTTTGATACTGGACGCGACGCAAAGGGGAAACTCAACTCAATCTAGGACGTTAACGAAGGGCAGGAGAAAAGGACGACAGGCAACGGCACGGAGAACGATGGCCAGCGTGCCAGGGTACCCAACTCGTATAAGAAGACGGCAGGGGCAAGACCTATTGAGGACCAAGGATGCAAAGCACAATACAAGCGATTAATGCAAGGGAGGCGGTCGACGAACTGTGCCATGGTCGCTGGCGATACGCATCATTCAAAGACATAAAACACAGAAAGTCGTAGAGATTCACACAACAAGACGACGACTCAGGGGCGCTACGGTGATGAAGGCGTCGCCCGAAGGTGGCGATGATGGAGACCAAGCAGAACGAAGTGTGGGTGACGGCGAAAATCCATGGGAGAAGGCGACGCCACGGGATGGAATCCCGAAGCACCAAGCGTAGATGCGACACTTCTGCGGTACGATGGAACTAAAACAAAAAACATTTAAGACAAAATTTGTTGGCAAACAGGCGAGGCAGACAACACCGACGAAACTTCGGAGGGAGCTTGTTGAGAGAACCAAAGACCAACAACAACAAAAAAATTGAAGCAAAGGCGAGAGAGAACGGACATCCAGGTCGCGGCACTTCACTGATGCAGAACAATGATGGCAACAAGGAAGAAGGATCACTCGACACTGTGTGTCTTGAGGCGGCGTTGCCCCAGCGTCCAAAACAAAATAAGCCAACGAGAGAAAGGAGACAAGACAGAAAAACAAACAAATCAAAATATAACAAAACGGAAGGTGACAGAAAAACAAAACAAAAGCAAAACGTCGGCGAGAAGGATGGCACAAAAGGCCAAAATAGGCAGATTGGTATATGAAAACGACGACGCTAAGAAGAAACGGTGGGAACAGCCGACGGTAAGGAGTCAGCAAGGAGCGGAGTGCGACCACGGTTGCCGCCCAGAGGGCGCGAACGGTGTTTCTGTAAACACCATGATCCACAGACGGCGTCCAAGGCGGTGGAGTAGAGATGCGCAGGCAGAGGCAGAACGCTTGGGCCCGGGTCATCCAAAAATCGAACGATGTACGAGCC